CAGGGGCTTAGGTGGAAAGAAAATGTTTTGAGAATGATGAGGGCAATGAATGTACAAATGTGCTTTTCACAATTGATGTATGTATGGATTGTGATAAGGGTTGTATGAGCCCCTAATAAAACAATTTTTTAAAAAAAGATTGAAAGGGATTTTACTAAGAAATTTAGAGCTCATTTTAATTTCTTTGAATGCTAAACAAGATTTCAGATTGTCATGCTCTTAGACACCAGACGTAACTCCGAACACCTTCAAGGAGCAAAGTTGTTCGCTCCTTGACCAAACAATAGGCCTGTGACCATAGTCCATGATTTAAGCAAGGCTGTGGTAAAAACCATCTCTGAAAAAGCTGAAATTCTGAAAGTTTGAGCTTCAGCTAAGATAAAGTAGCTGTGCTTTCTCTCCCCTTCCTTGGGAAATGGCTGATAAGCAGCATTCTGCAGCTGTTCAGTTTTATGCTCCTCCAAACCATGGTAAAATTAACTCATGTATTAAGGCTTCTTTGTATGCCCTCTGATAATTGTCAACTATCTGTTTGTGTGAGAACTTGTCATGAGATGCAGGCTACGTGACAGGGAGTGTAGATAATCCTGCCTGAGATGAAGTGCCGGACGTTGAAGTGTCTATTGCTCCTAACTGTATCTTATCTTTTCTCTTATCTAAATGTTTTCTCATTGCAGACAGTCCCCTTCCTGAACCCCTTAGATTTGTAAGATAAGAGCTGGTCTCTGAGAATCTCACAATACCTCATACTTTAGTCTGCTTTTCCAGGTGCCTCCTTCCTTTCTGTGTTGGAAAAGTTCAGACACTTTCATGTGATGGTCAGTCTTCCATGACCTTGGCTTTATCCATTTCTCCAGCCTCATCTCTTGTCTAACCAAGCACCTTGTGCTCTAGAAATAAGACTGTTGCTTTCGCACAGAAGATTAATGCCATTTCTCACCTCCATGACTTTGCTTAGAACATTCTTCCCACTAAGAATGTCCTTCCTGCCCTCTTGAGTCCTTCTTTGCCCAAGTGACTACTCTTTCAGTCTCAACTTCCTCTTCTCTTATTTGCCTTCCCTTCTATTTGATGCTTCGATAATACTCTATTTATAGCTCTCTATTGAGTTTACCAAATCGGATATTTGTATATTTTTATTTGTATGATTTTATATGTTTCATTTATATCTTTTCTTCCCTGAGGGTAGATACTCATGCTTAGATCCCCAACACCTAGAAGAGTTCCTTGAACAAAATCAACTACCAATAAATATTTGTTAAGTGATTGAATAAGGCAAGGCTTCTGTCTTCCTGGCAGGTATGGAATGGGCCAGAAGAAATGAGCAGCTTCAATGGAGCCCAGCTATCAAAAGATATAGCGTCTAGGGTCTTAAAGACTTGAAGGTAAACAAGCGTCAAGCTAGCTCAGAAGCAACAAAGCCCACATGGAAGAAGCACACCAGCCTGTGTGATCACAGGGTGCCAAAGGAACAAAAAATCATATCATTGTGTGCTCACCTCCCTGATATGATCAATGAAAACAATGGTTG